GCCAAAGGCAGAGATAGTGTTAGAAAAAATGAAAGAGAGAAAGATAAAGCGAGGAGAAGAGGAAGTGATAAATAGATAGATAGATTAGATAGATAAATAGATAGATAGATAGATAGATAGATAGATTAGATAGATAGATTAGATAGATAGATTAGATAGATAGATAGATAGATTATATATATATATATATATATAGAGAGAGAGAGAGAGAGAGAGAGAGAAAGTGAAAAAGGGAATTTTTTATTTGCGCAACAACCTACTCTTTCATCCTTTCTATTTATGAGTTATGTTTAAGTTTTTAGGGAGTGGGTCTGATAAACAGAAAAATGAAGAAAATAAAGAGTGAATAGAAAAGAAAGAAAGAAAATGAGAGAGAGGATTGGAGAGTGGGTGATTGAGAGAAAGAAAGTACGAGTGAGAAGGAGAGAGAAAGAGAAAGAAAGAGAGAGAGAGAGAGAGAGAGAGAGAGAGGGAGAGAAAGAGAGAGAGAGAGAGAGAGAGAGAGAGCGAGAGAGGGAGAGGGGGAAACAGACATACAGACAAACAGAAAGAAATGAGAGAGGAGCAGATAGGCACATCAGACAGATCTTGAAACAGCTGTTGCGAGTAAACAACCTCAGTAACCTGAAAATCAATGTCACTTTTTTCAATTTATCGTTGTGGTTATTATATCTTTATGTCCTTTTTTAGGTATCACACATAAATCCATACACGCTCAGACTAACACAATTACAATATTGGTGTTTAAGACAAGGGCAGAGCAAATAATATCTTTTAATCAATGATTCAGAGTAGTTTCTTTTAGCTGATCATCTTTTTGTCACACATATAATTAGTACAAGGGATTAAAACGTAACCAGAAAATTATAATTTTCATTTGATCGTTGTTTTCTGCATATTAAAGCTTTAGTTAATATTTAGTACATTGATCGTTGATATTATTAACCTATTTTTACCGTGTACGTTTCTGATCAAACCAGTTTTACTAATTGGATTTACCCTCAAAACACCCCTTGCGTCCGTCTTAAAAAAAACGAAAAAATCTCCTCTGATTCCGTTTCCCCTTTTGGTTCGGCGACGTAGGTGTTAATAGAGTGGAAACTCACCCCCCTTCCATTCACACTTGGGAGATTAAAGTGATAGAGATGTATTGGTGAGGGACAATCAATCCTCCACTTTGGGCAGCACTCCCTGCGGATTACATATAATCTGATTTGCATAATCTTTTGTCGACGCTACCCCTTAGAGGATTGCGTATGGTAAACATTTAGTGATATACTGCCGTTTCATTGTGCGTTATTAAACTGCTTTATGGATTTAAAAAATATCGATTTAGACATACGGGCGTAAACCGACAGGGAACTATGATGACTGTCATCTCATCCATTATGCAGAATTTCTATTATTTCAATTTTTCTACACTGTGTGCATCTTAAAATGTTGCAACTCTTCTATTTACATCGTCTTCCTTTAGGGTCTATGTTTTTAAAATTCTTTTTATTGCACTATTGCGGACTATGTTTACGTTCTGCAGCACCAAGTGTGTATGAATTTATATTATCTTCGAAAAAATAACCAGTCACTTTGATACTTTTCTCAAATTTATTTAATTGTAAATACAAAATTAATTTCAAAGCTTTTACATAATTTATGGTATATGATTGGTAAAACCTTCGATGTTTTAAAAATCATTTTGAACCCCGTTGATCGGATGTAAATAAAATTACTCACAACTAGACCATTTATAATTTATAAACTTTAGAAATCACTATATTGCATAATACAACGTCTGAAGTTGATAAAAATTGACCAATGCTATGTCCAGACCTGACACTTTCAGATTTTTCCTTAGCACAACCGATTCCGCTATTAGGAAGAACTTTTTTTTAATTGATGTCAATACTACAATGTTAGTTTTGTTGAAGTAATTTAATTATTGATTTGGAAAGGAATATCCATTGAAATCAATTAGATGGCAAAAAATGGTATTTTAAAACAAAAAATTTCCAACTTTTGTCCAATATTGCAATATAAGTTTAGGCTCAAATGATATTTTCACCAACAAAAAACAATAGGAAACACATTAGCATATGATTTGAAATATCATTTGAAAGTAAAAATTTGAAAATAAAATGGAAACAATGACAGAAATATTAAATGATTGTCTTTGACACATTTAAAATAATGTGTAGTTGGATTTTCTCCGATCATCCGGACAGTAAAAATCTCTACAGGCTTTCGCCATTATGCCCAAAATCTACAAAAAGGGATTTGGAAAAAAAATGAAAATATTGGCAGTAAAACGATCACTACCAACCCTTGACCATTAGACCTTTGTTTTATTAAATCTTTACAAAAAATTACTTTTCAAATTTTATTTTCTTAGCACAATAAATTTTTTTGCGTTTAAATTGGCATTTAATTACACGTAGGGCATCCTCTGGCTGTTGTGACTGTTTTCATTCTTGTTGACACATATTTTCAAAACTTTTAGTAAAATTTCCTTGTCCGGGCTGTCCCGCTTGCCAATACATCTGACTTTACCATATCAATGGTTGTACGGGGTTGTTATGATTGGGTCCGGGCTACTTGGCCACTAAAAGGTATAACACTACAAAGTCATCTCCACTTATCTTAAGGTATTCAAAAGAAATAAATGCACTAGTTCCCTTTCTGGATCCGGCTGCTCAGGTTTCTTGCGCATTCACGAATATGCGTTTCGCCTTCACGACATCTTCAGTGAAAAAATGTCAAAGCAGACAAAAATTTTTGAATCTAGTAAAGTGATCAGGGACGATCAATTGAACGTTAATAAAGTATGTGTGGTATTTAGTGACCGTTAATTAATGATTATTTGGAGGTCGTTAGATGCGGTCTGGTGTGACATAGATTTAGAAAAACAATTTCTTTATCGTGCCAATGATCCACAGAAAGCAAACACTTTGAATGAACACAAATATTTTGAATCTAAAATTTCTATCATTGTATAAATTCATTTTTTCAAATCTTACATGTATTTGTATAATTTAAAAAACGTTTATAAATCCCAGAACTTGAAGATGATCACAATAAAGATCGAAACGTTGGCATTATAAAGAAAATGTTTTTCTAAACCTACGTCACACTAGATCGCATCTCACGATCTCCAAATAATCGTTAATAAAGTACGTACACAAATTTGTATAATAAAGTTTTCCTGCACTAATTTTATGATCTCCCTGACCTCACAGTCTAACCAACACCATCGTATTATTTTAACATGGTTTAGATTTAGATTGGAGAGAGAAAAGAAGTTTTTTTATTGTAAGATTTCTTGTAGAGTACTGTTTCAGAAAATTTTGTTCTGCTCTCCTTCGCTCTTTTCAACCGTCAGACGCGTTCCGACAATCTTCAGCGATGAATCATGTTTGTTAAAAATGAAACCGAAAGGAAAACCGAAATTGAACAAAAACACGGACATTAAAGATGGGAAAAGCACGCGTCTCCAGGCTTACAAAAATACAAATATCTTTTAAATATATGTTAAATATTATCTTCGATATAATTAGTGATCAGCCTTTAATATTAATATTTTATATTAACAGACCATCAGGGATTAGGGTAAATAGAACAAAAAAAAACAGTCTTCACCTATCTTTTTGGGAATATATCCACTTCATTAGAACTATGAAATAAACATTAGATCCTATTTTCAAAATTTCAATTATAAATTTCTTTGTAATGTCGTTGAAATCTTAGGTTCCAAAATTGTGAATAAATGTTCATATTGTCAACCTTTTATAAATTGATAATTGTACATTCCCTGAGGCCGGGGATCTACTTCCTGAAATATATACAAAAAAAAATGGTTTCCTTTCTTCCAACTTGGCCTTACCCTTGATCATCTTTTACGATCGAATTATAAAAATATTGTTACTATTTAGGATGTTCATCAAGCAAAACAACTTACAGATGACGGCTAGTGTGAGGCAAGTCGCTCGTAGCCCTTTCACATTTTAAGAATTAAGCCAACCGACCCTCTGGGAATTATTTTTCACGGTTATTATTTCGGTGCGAGCCAGGAGTCCGGATCTCTTATAGAGGAATACTCAAGCGGAAAGGGACTTTTTTCTGTTTTGTTATTGATATATCGCGCGAGAGGATCTGTTATTGAAGCCAGTGACAATGGGGCTGGAATCCCCGGATAACTTTTCTATAACTGCTTGCACGGATTTGTACTCTTTTCTATCACCCGCCGGTTGAATAAGTTTTCGAAGCCGGCTTTTACGCGAGGAGGGAACGATTTCGAATATCAATTGGTATTACACAGTTCGTAATTTATCGGCGTAAATTGATATTACGTCCTATTGAAAACGCCTCCGGGAGAGAGACGGAGAGAGAGGGAAAACTCCCTATCTCTACATTAGTTTCTACTGAATCAGCGCTAGTTACAAACATAAATCACATTGGAAGTTGATCAAAGGTGTTTAAGGGGTTGTCACACAATATGGGGGTCGGGCTCTCTAATTCAATTAGCCACCAAATACGAACGAGATCTGCCCAGGCAGATATCCACCCTTCTCGCCGAAACCAAAACCTTGGAAATGCTAGTAGCGAACTTCAAAGCTTTCGCGCTTTCACAGTGGGTAATTAATCAGTTTCCCAGGTGTGACCGGACACGGGGCTTAATTTTCTCAGCAGTTTAACGGGAAGTGGTATCCGAATTTTTATTACTGGTTTAAAAACTTATCCTTCCTGTTGCAGTAAGACAATACAGTAAGATTTATCAAGTCCTCATTGTCCCCTTTATCCTAAATCAATTATGAACGTACAAGACCTTTGTAATCGTTGATTGCATCATTCATGCGATCCCAGCACAGAGGAGCAATGAATCGAGTTAATGCGAAATTGTGTCTAAAAACACCCTTCTAACGAGTCCCTATTTTACAAAAATCCATTCGGTTTTAGCGACTCTCATGAAGTATTTATTTTTAACGTGTTATTTTAATTTCATTTTTCAGATAATCGGTCGGAACACACAATGCATTTAGAAATTGCTGACGGGACGGAAAACTGAAACAAAAGGATAAAGGTAAGAGAAACCCGTTTTCTTTTCTTGTACACACTTTTCTATTTTCAAACTGTCCGTTAATGATTTTCGGCCACTAAATTGTGGGATTATGCTGACAAATAGAAAAGAAAAGGAATTCAATTATTCCTTAAAACCTTTTTACCCAAAGAAAGTTGCCCTCTGGGGCGAATGAGCGATTCGAATTATTTTGCTAACAATGCTGCCCATTACCGTGGTAGAAAAGGGGTTCTTGTTAATTCAATGGGCTCGACCAGGAAAAGATCTTCGAATCAATTTTACAATATAATTTTGTCCTAGCGGAATACCCTTTACAAAGACTATAGAACTAATTTCTTAAGAAAGGATACTTACTCAAATATTATAGATTAAGAGATAAGTACATTCGAAGTAATGTTCCGCGTTGAATGGATATACCTATATATACCTTACCTTATATACCTGTATATTATATACCTTACAATTTTTAGAAATAAACAAAGAATCATAATTCAGAACAGAAATTTCTATATGTATTTAAAATGGCATCCTCTTTATGATTAGCGGCAAATCCTGCCAGAACAGTATGACGAGAAGCCACTAGGGTGCAGAATATTACGACGTACTGCGTGTAGAAATAGTCATTATCCCTTTTTTCCAGCAGGACTTCCAGACCTTCCCGAAATAAGAATAAACAATTAAAAAACTTTTGAATAAAATACAAATAGGTTTTGTATAATTGAAAGGCATATTATTTGTAGCGATTAGTGCACATCCAGTAATTAAGAGATAATATCCTTTTTGTCTAAAAAATTATCTAGGTTTCAGCAGCAAGTAAGGATTAATTCAAGACATATCCGGTGCATAATCCGTTCATTCTTTCTCTATAAAAAAACAAAAAACAAATTAAGAATATATTTCTGAATCAGAATGGCTTATTTGTGTGTTTACTAATATATTATTTTAACATTATGAATGATAAAAATAAACGAATAACGATTATTTAAAGATCGTGAGATGCGGTCTAGAGTGATATAGGTATGAAAAAAATTTTCGTTGTGCTAACGTTTCGATCTTTACTGAGTTCATCTTCAGGGTCTGGGATTTATAAACATTATGTAAATTATACAAATACATACAACATATGAACATGAATTTATGCAATGATGTACACAATTTGTAGTATTTAGTGACCTTAAATTAATGATTATTTTGAAATTTTAGATGCGGTCTTGAGTGATGTAGGTTTAGAAAAACATTTTTATTGTTTTGCCAACGTTTCGATCTTTACTGAGATCATCTTCAGGGTCTGGGATTTATAAACATTATGCAAATTATACAAATACATGTAACATATGAGTATGAATTTATGTAATGATGTACACAATATAGAAATTTTAGATTTGATCAAACTATTTGTACTCACTCAAAGTATGTATTTTCTGTGTAGATGTGTCACGGTTGTGTTTCATGTTGAGATGGTTAGTGAGGTATTACTGTTGTTTTTTATGCTTGATTTTGAAGGAATGGGGAAGGTAGTAGGGAGAGAAAAGCATTTTTCTATGAGGAATCGGCTTTTTTAAGGCGAAGGGACCGACGTTGGAAAAAAAAGGGTAATGGTTTGTCGTTCGGACCTAGTTAGTTTTTCAGTATTATTATTGACGGGATTATTAGGAAAAGGAGAGATAATTTGATTGGGATTTAGACTATGTAGAATTGTCTGATGTGTGAAATGTAATAATTGTTTTCTATCTTGTATTATATGTTTTGTGTGTTAAATGTACGTTACTGATATCGAATTTGATTTATGATATTACAGCTGCGGCTGAGTTTACATGTTTCTGTTCTATAATTGATAATGTGTTTATCTCTGTTGATGTAAAACATTTCTAAAAAGTTAGGTTTGTTTTACTATGTATTTAATTGTTATTCAGATATCGTGAGGTGCGGTCGGGTCTCACGCTGTCTGAATAACTATCGATTAACGGTCACTAATCTCTACACATATGTATTTAATATTTCTGGATTGTTGAAATCGACATTGGTTGGTGTTCAAAATGGTGGGTAGCCAGTCCTGAGGATTTAGGACACCATCTTATCCAGATATTGGGATGTAATTCCGATGTAAGTTGTCGTACAATGTGCACAATTGATGTTGTAAATTACATCAGACTTACTTTTTACAGAGGTGTAGGCTCTTCAATTTTGGAAAAAAGATGTGAGTAGTTTTTGAAGGCTATTTTATTATAAGTTATCAGAAGAGAGAAATGTGTTTAATTTGTGTTATAGGCCGTGAACGAATGGAATGTATAAGTATGTTGGTTTGTCTGTTTGATACAATTGGTGTGGTGTTATTAGTGCTAGTGGATGTGTTAGTGTTGAGTTGTGGATGTTGATTACTCTGTTTTTTTTTGTTTTTTTTTACTCTGTTGATTATGTGTTTAGGGTAGTGACTGGTATGTTGAATATGTTCGTATATCTTTATGTTCTTGCAGTGAAAAGATTCATGGCTCCGAGTAATAATTCTGGGAAGTATCTCTTTGGCCGTGTTTATTACTGTATGAAGGGGATGGTGTAAAGTTGGTAGATTATCAAAAACAAAGAAATACAGATCGCTACCTCAATTTTACATCACACTATCCCTTTCATACACACATAAAAACAGCAAAAGGGTTACTTCACAGAAGCATTACCCTTAGCCATGAATCTTTTCACCACAAGAACATAATGACATACAAACATACCGTACATAACAATCACTACCTCATCAACGACTATAACTCAACACCAACATCTACTATTATTAATAACACTACATCAATTCTATCAAATAAATCAACTTTCTATATCCATTGAATTCGTTCATCGCCTACCACAAAAATGATACATATCTCTCTTCTGATAACTTGAAATTAGCCTTCAAAAAATGTAAAACTATTTATTTTACATTACTTTAAATTTTACTCTTTTTCCAAAATTAAAGATCCCACACCAGTAAATAAACAGTCTGATGTAATTTACAAAATCAGTTGTACGAATTGTCCGGCAACATACATGGGAATTACATTCCAAAATCTGAATAAGATGGTAAAACAACAGATCTACGGTTGAAGAATCCACTATTTTGAACACCATCGCAATTTTCCGATCAAAAATATTAAACCCAGAACAAAATAAACATAAACGTAAATATTCAGAAATGGTTTACATGTATGTTATATGTATGAGCATAATTTAAACTATGTTAATAAATCCCAGGCCCTGAAGATGATCTCAATAAAGATCGAAACGTCGGCACGTTAAAGAAAATGTTTTTCTAACACATCACTTCAGACCGCATCTCACTATCTTTAAATAATCATTAATTAACGGTCACTAAACATTACAAATTTAAACGAATCACTTTTAAAAATTCAGTGTTATTACTTTTTCTTATTGACGAAGTATTTTATGGATAAAGGGAATTTCAAGCTTGTTGTAGAGGGTAGTATTGCATACTATTACGAGTATTTATAATTAATCTGAGGACTTTAAAATAAAAGGATTGAGCCGATGGATATTGTTAGGCTAAACTTTATCGTACCAAATCGGTTGTAGTAGCGTTTTGTAGATTGTAAGTTTGTTTTTGGTCGATTGTTGTCCCATAAGGCTGCAGAGTAGATCATAGCGTCTGGTTAGGTCGTATAATTTGTGCAGGTAACCCTTGTGCCAAATGCAGTCGAACGTTTGTGCTACATCAAGAATGTTTGCATACAATATTCTTTACGCTCGCTAGAAGCATTAAGTAACAAATTAACTAAGATCACAGCGACTTAGTGGTTTTTATGGAATAAATATTTTTACACCCAACCCTGAATGTAAAAATCAAATAAAAAACTAATGAATTAAAAAAAGAACAAACAAGAAAATGATGTTGAAAACAGATTCATAGCACATTTTATGACGAAGAATTTAAAAAGTGATGAGCAACCAACATAAAAAAAAGATAATTTAATTCGAATATCCTCAAGCGATATATGTAGTTAAGTATGATTTGTTGAGGACTAACATCAAATTCCTCATAAACTATAGCTATTTCAATCTTCATTTGTGTTAGTTAAGTAGTGATATAATACTTATTGTTAGAAAACACAGAAATTATCTGCTAATATTTTTTCAAGAAAACCAAACCACATCAAAATCAATAAAAAAAAGTAAAAATATGTTGTTTTTAGTAATAAAAACACAAAAACCTTTTCAAATTTTGTCATTAAGATTACTTTTGAGAATTTGGCTTTTTACACAAAATACCTACGAAAAAAGTATAATCCACTACATACTTTTACGTCACTATTGCGTATCAGGTGTATTGAAAAGTATCAGAAATGACTAGTTATGATCGACTTTTTATTGTAGTTACAAATTACATTTAATAAAATGTATTAAAGAGAATACGTAAGTTCTATTATTAGTGGAGAACACCATTCAACACAGTGTGAAGCCGGTCAACTAGGGCGCAGTGCTACAAATCTGCTGTAGGGAGTTGCAAATGACATTTGACTTCTCAAAGAAATTAATAAAATTGATATAGTATAAAGAAAGGATGTATAATGGAATGTAGAAAAGGAAAATCTCAGAAAACTTATTCACTATTTCTATTTATTATTCCTTTATTTTTACAACTAGTTATTAAGTCGATGATCATACACACAAATATAATAAGTTAAACAATGCAGTAAATTATGATAAACTGTTGTTTACAGTATAAAAAGAAACATTAAGCTTGCTTTATTTTTGTAACAAGGTTGAAAAAATAGTAAATGGAGCGGAAAACTTTATATAACCAACTCAATATTCGTGTTTATATGAAAACTAATTAAATAAATAAATAAAGCATTGCTATTTTAAAAGAGGAAAAATAAAGACATAAAAACAATAAATAGAGGTAAAATATATTTTTAAAGAACTATATCTGCGTTATATATCTACTAGGTGCGTCCAATACTATGGTATTGGGCGAATTACACATATGTACATAATATAAA